CACAGCTTCCTGCTGTACCCCTGTTGATACTTTCGAGTGGTATTCTGTGTGTGATTCCATGGGAAGGATCAGGGGAGTGGGAAGGAGAGGGTCTGCTTTTGCTGGAAAGTAGAACGCTCTCCCTGTGAGACTCTTCAGCTGATGGAGGTGGGTTGAGCACCACAAGGACTGGAGAGGGGCTGTGCCTGCCCTCCTGCACAAGCCTTCCAGAGGCAGAGGAGCAAGCCCCTTTTGTTGCCACAAGGATTCTTTCTGCAGAGCAGCTCCAAGGAATTGTAATTAGGGATGGGCACAAACCTACAAGTGAACCCTGTTCAAGCACAAACCACGCCAGTTCGTGGTTCGCGAACCAGGGGTTTGGGAGAACAGTCTCCCACGATGTTCATGGGACGGTTTGTGCAGGCTCCAGCAGTATTTAAATGCCTTCGGAGGTCACTTCCGGGTGGGGCTGTGGCGCCATGAATGTCCCCAAAGCGTGAACCGGTTCGTGCAATTGAGAAGTTCATGGAAGTTCATGTTTCGGAAGTTCGTGAAAAACCACGAACCTCCATTTTTCCGGTTCGTGCCCATCCCTAATTCTGATGCTTTTGTAGCACAGAAGAGGAAACTTTATTCCTTCTCTGCAAGTTTCTTGTGGTCCTCACCTTGTTCAGATGTTTGGCCTGGGGGACAAGGATTAGGATGGGCTCGTTTGTGCACATTGTCAGCTCTTCGGAAGAGGAAGCAAGAGAATCGATTCACTGTCTGTATCAGCCCAAGTTGCCCCTGCTTAATCTTTATGTGCGCTGTGGTGGCTCAAGTGGTTAAGACGCTGAACTGCAGACTGAAAGGTCAGTAGTTCAGCAGTTTGAGACGCGAGTGCCGCATGACGAAGTGAGCTCCCGTCTCTGGCCCCAGCTCCTGCCAACCTAGCGCAAGAAATTGCAAGTAGATAAATAGGTACTGCTTTGGTGGGAAGGTAACAGCGTTCTCTGCGCCTCGGCGTCTAGTCACGCCAGCCGCATGACCACGGAAAGGTCTTCGGACAGTGCTGGCTCTTCGGCTTGGAAAACGGAGATGAGCACCACACTCCTAGAGTCGAATTCGACTGGCTTTCAAGCAAGGGAAACCTTTACCTTTAATCTTTATGTGGTAGGCTCTGTTAATTTCCAGGGAAGAGGCGGTGAAGGCCACGGCCACTGTAAATCGTGCCTAATCTTCCCTCCCCAACACACCCTGTCTTCAGAGTAACCAAGACATTGCCCACATGCTGTGCCTGCAGGGACTGATGATGATGGCAAAATTACTTGTTCCATCAACCTGTCGGTTCTGAACAGCTGTACTACGAGCCAGCCCATAAGGACTCAGAACCTATGGGGCAGGTGGGTCATCTGACTGAAGATCTCCAGATAGCAGATTTTGTGACAAGCGTTCCATACTCTGGCTTTTCGGCTGCCTGGCCAGAATTGCAGCTGCTCTGAGAGAGCTTGTGAACTATAAAAAGGCTGATGAATAAGACCAGCAGAGCTGATGCTGAGCGCTCTGCTTGCACTAGACCAAGCTGTCATAGGTAACCATCTTGACCGCTTCCGGTGTGGCCTCACCGAGGGCGCCCGGGTGAGGAGGGGTGTATTGGTGGCCTGTTCAGACGTGTTCCCGCATCTCCCTGTTCCTCCCGCTGCAGGTGAGCAGCTCCCCCGAGCCGCCCCGCGACCACCCACCCCCTGGCGCGATCGGCACCGAGCGTTCCCAGCGAGCGGAGAAGGCCAAAGATGGCGCAGAGGGGATGGGTGTGGCCAAGTCGGAGCTGAGCCCCCAGCTGGAGACCCCCGGGGCTGGCCCGCCCATCCAGTTTGGAGCCAGCGACAAGGTACGTGCCCAAGCCAGGAGCCCGAGGGGGAGAAGAGCAGGGGAGAGGAGGCAGCCATATGCCGCAAGGCTTGCAGAGGAGCTGGAGGTTCCAGGCCTCGAGTCCCCACTCTGGCTGTTTGCCCCTTCAGGACACAGACCTCCGCTTCATGGTGAGCGAAGGATCCAAACCAGACAAAGAAGAGTTGCACCAGGCACTTGCGGAGGGGGTAAGCGGCAGTGAAGAGAGCACGGAGGGTGACGAGGGGCCAGAGCTCCCTGGCCTGGGAGTGGGCAGCCCTGTGTGTGGCAGCCCTGCCCCAGGGAAGAGGGGCTGGAGGCCGTGGCTGCTTGTGGCTGCACCCCTCCCATCACTTAGACTGAGCGCCCGAAGCTGGCGAGCTGAACTGAATGGCATCTCTCTGAACTGAGGCGAAGCTGGGGGGGGAGGTGGAGTGGCAACAGAAGCGGCTTTTCCTCAAAAGTCCCCTCTGTTGTCTGTAGGGGATGGCCCCATCTGTTAGCGTATTTTTTTAAAGGCCCAGGCAGCTTGAAAACAGGGCAGGCAGCTCCAAGAGGTAAGCGTAGCAAGTGTTCCTTCCTCTGACATCCAGGGAGCTTGGTAGAACGTGTTGTCTTCCCCACCACTTTATTCTCACGACAACCCCATGAGGTAGGCAGGCAGGCAGGCTGCGAGATGGAGACACCGTACACCGTATGTGCTTCATGGCTGGTGAAGGCCCCCTGGGACCAATGTTCCCTCTAAGCTGTGGAGTCTTGTGAGGAAAAATTCTGCTTTGTGAGCTACTGGCATTAAAGTTGTGAGCAAGCAACATGGCTACTGCATAAATTAGTTTGCTCTGGAGCCATCCTTCTTGAGTTAAGACAAAAATGGGTGAGCTGGAGGCTAAAAAAACTCTGAGCTAGCTCACACTAACTCAGCTTAGAGGGAACACTGCCTGGGACCTTCCGCCCTCTCGGCCACACTGGCTTTCGTCAGTTTTGTCAGTGTAAAAAGGGCGTGGAGAGTCAAGAGTTTGACTGCCCCCCCCGCGCGCCTGTGTATTGCCTCACACCTTCCTCCCTTTGCAGCTGACTTCGGCCCCCAGGGAGTGGGAGCTGCTCCCTCCGCCACCCCCCAGCCACAGGGCATCCCCCGAGGCACCTCCCGGTCGCTCCTGTGAGCCCAAGCCTTTCCCTATCGCCCCGGTGGCTGCCTCCTGTCTCCACGGACTGCTGGCGGACACCTCTGTGTTCTCAGGTATGGGGCGGGAAGGAGGGGGGCCTGGGGGGCGTGGCTTCTGGCCAGATGGGGACCTGACTGTCGGCTTCTCTCCGCAGGCGAGCGGGGCCAGGGCCAGCGACTGTACCCAGAGCTGTTTTATGGGAACCAGGTAACTGCCAGGGCAGAGCATGGGGGCGCGAGAGCCTTGGAGAAGAGTGTGGGGTGTGACGGACAGTCTCTAGTTCTGCCCTCCAGGCATCCGCATAAATCCCTGCCTACAGGAGGAGAAGGCAGATACTAAGCAGCATCAGCCAGTGAGAGACTGCAGAACCCCTAGGAGAGGTGGGGAGGAGAGCTGAAAGGGAGGGGAAATCTGTCGGTGCCCTGAGAAAGGGACCCACAGGGGAAGCAGCCGTTAGTAGAGTGAGGTGGTGAGGCTTCACCTGTTGAAGAAAAGGAACCCAGATATCTACGGCCGAGGAGTATAGGACTCCGGGGCTGCTAAAGAGACTGGAATAGAGCAGGGATCTCATCTGATCTCAGGAAAGTAGTGGGCGAGGGACTTGTGGAGGGGACTGAGGGATGTCTCCCAAGGGACAAGCTAACCCTGTTTCCGTCAGCTGAGATTCTTGCAGGTTTAAGGTAGAGTTTCAGAGGAAATCATTCCCCCCCCCCCCCCCCAACTCTGGCAGAAACACCCTGTCACTTCTCTAAAGCGGTGGGTGGGTGAAGCTGGAACTCTTTTAAAGCCGTTTTTTGGGCTGTCCTGACCCATCACTTGTCATGTTCCTTATTTATTTATTTTATTTTTATTATTTATTGTTTGTATTTCCAGCCCGCCCATCCCATAAGCGGGCTCAGGGCGGGTAACATCATAAAAACAGTACAATAAATGCAATTACAATTAAACAAGTTAGGAATTCAAGCAGTGATGAGCATTAAAGCTCAATCACACTTCTGACAGTCACTGGTTGTGCGGTTCTTTAGCACATTATTTGTCATATCTCCTCCCCCCCCCCCCCTCCCCCAATCACGAAGCATTCAGCCTTTGTAAGGCCGGTAAGCTTATTTCTTTGCATTGTGGAGAGAAGGGCCGCTGGGGGCACTGTGGATCATTAGATCTGCAGAGGAAGCATCGGGGGGGGGGAGGAATGGGTCGGGGCTGGCTTGGGGTGAGGGAAGGAGCGGTCGGGGCCCCCAGCGCTCAGGCCTCCCCGCTCTCCCCTCTCTGCAGGTCCCCACCACCCAGCTTGAGTCGCAGCTCCACGGTGCCGGGGGCGGGAGCAGCTTCCGCCCAAACACCCCTTCTCTGCACACTTACAGGTACGGGCGGCCTGGCCTGGCCTTCACGGGACGCTCCTTGGGGCTGGGAGGGAGGGAGGAGGAGGAGCAGCTCTGCGGGCAGCACGGCTGCCTCTGTCTTGGGGGAAGGGGTGGGTGGAGGTTGGCACCCGGGGGGGGGCCATCGGTCGAAAAAGCTGCCAATGGCAGTGGCGGGATGCTGTCCTTGGGGGGAGCGGGACTCCTTGTTCTTTCTCCCGACTGAATTCCCGGGGCCTCTTCCGCCAGGTCCCAGCACCACCTCTACCTGCAGCCCAGCCCAGCTCCCACCTCTCCGGCTCAGCCGGCAGCCGGCGCCATGCTGCCCAGTTCCACCTTGCTCTCAGGGGTGGCCCTGAAGGGCCAGTACGTGGAGATCTCGGCCCTGCAGGCAGCTGAGCTTCCCAAGCTGCCGGCCACGGGCTTGCTCTACCAGGCGCCCCCGCCCTCCTTCATCTACAGCTCGGCCTTCTGTGGCAGCCAGCTGGCTCCGGAGCAAGCCCTGCTTCAGGTACGGGGGCTGGGGCGGGGGGGGGGGGGGGGGCGGCCTTAAAGGCAGGGCTGGTGTTTTCCAGGGATCAGCGACCACTGAAGCCGGGGAGGGGGCAAAGTTGAGGTGGGGCAGGTAGCACTTGGCAAAGCCAGAAGCTGGCCAGTACTTAGCACTTGGTACCCTAGCCTAGCTTCGATTCTCTCTCCGTTTGAACAACAGTGTGACGTTGGAGGTGTACTTAGTTTTCTACAGGGAGGAGATCTGGGTTTGGCTCTCCACTCAGCCAAGAAATCACAGGGGGGGTGTGCGTTGGACTGTTGTTGTTGTTGTTAAGATTGCTTGGCCATCTTTCCATTAATCAAGGCAGCTTACAGATGCAAGCATGACAAGCTACACAGCTGAGAGTTGCTGAGTTGACTCATGCAGACAGATTCAGGGGGATGGCCACGTTGGTCTGAAGCCGTAGTGCCAAGGCTGAGTCCCACGACACCTTTAAGGCCCACAAAGTTCAACGCAGGCAGTACAACTCCAGACACAAGCCTTCTCTTCTCCAGTGGTGTTTTGGAAGAAGGAGTCTTGGAAAGCTTCCTGACATTGCTACAAACCCTTTGGGGGAAGAGTGGGATTGAATAGTATAGCACCTTTCACTGAAAGGGAAAAGATTTTGGGCATCAGGTGTGAAGTGGTCACAGGCAGATTATTTCAGTTGTCTTCTGAAGCCAAATTGTCCCTCCCTTCCTGCAACGCAGGCCTGTGCCCAAGTGGCCTGGTGCTGAGTGTCTCTCCCCCCCCCCAAAAAAAATCTGGCCCTGCCTATTTGTAGAAATAAGGCTCATGCTGTGATTGTCTCTCTTGCCTCCCCATGTTTAGCCTGCTAGGTCAGGAAGGAGGGATTCAGGGTACGGTTTAGTGTATTTCCTGTATGGCTTAAGGGGCGCACTGATGTGTGAAAACTGGCAGTGATTTTTGAATCTGCTGTTGAGGGGGGGCCTGGCAGAGAAAGTGCCCAAAGCAGCTAGATGGGGTGGGGTGGGGTCAAAGGTTGGGTGATGTCATGGTCCAGAGCAAGCCCCGTCCTCTGAGCACACACACCCCGGTCCAGCCCGCTGTGACGCCCACTGTGGCTGGTGCTTTCAACAGGTACGCCAGGAGCTCCCCTCTCCCTCTGAATTTTACCCAGCCCCCCTGGGGCAAGGCAACCAGAGCAATTTCCTGACTGCCACAGCTCCTGCCCAGCAGGTGAGCAGTCTCCCATCTTGTGTGCAAGGGGGGGGGGAGCCTTTTTCCAGACTGGCCCCCCCCTCGCCCTTAACTGAGTCTCTCTCCTTCCCCCCCCCCCAGGTGCTGTTGCCAATGGTGGAGCCCTCCCAGCTGCCCCCCGTGATGAACTTTGGCTCCCTGCAGCAGGGGCCTCCTGCGGCCCCTGCCCCACCGCCTCCCCCCATGCCCTTGGTGCCTGTGGCCACCCAGGCCCTGCGGCCGCCGGGACAGCTGGCTGGGCGCCTCATCTCTCCGGCCGTGCGGGCCTTTCCTCATGGGGCAGTGGGCCGGGGCGAGGTAACAAAAGGGAGCAGGAGGGCAGGGAGAGGGGAGGGGTCTTGCGTCCTCTGCTGCTGACGGGCCTTTCCCCCCCCAGCTTCACACTCTGGAAATGAAACCGCTGCAGGACTACAGGAAGCTCAATGGCCTGGGGTCTGTAGGGGCCCGACCCCCCTCTGGAGGCAGGTGAGTGGGGGGGAAAGGGCTGGCTATTAAAAGAAAACTTCATCTATGCCCCACCTTTCTCCCCAGCGGGGCCCTAAACCAGATGACACTACTTTCCTCTCCTCCATTTTATCCTCTCAGCAACCCTGGGAAGGAGGTTAGGCAGTCTTCCATCGCTAGAGTGGGGATTCAAACCTGGGTCTCCCAGATCCTCGGCCCAGCCCTCTGACCCAGAGTCCCCAACCTTTCGGTGCCCGCAGGCACCTTTGGAGTTCTAAAACAGCATGGTGGGCGCAGCCAGCCACAAAATGCTTGCCACAGCTTCCCTGCAGTCCCGCAGTGACATTATTTTTTGAAAACCTGCACAGCCAGTCAGATCACCAGTAGCTAAATAAGAACCCTGGTTAAGACTTTTCTTACCCACAGGCCTTTTGCCGGAGGCTTTAACGCCCGTCTGAAATCCCCCGGATCTGGCTACGGTGGCATTTTCCGTGCCCAGCGCTTTGAGGTCTACCAGCAGGTGAGAGGAATAGGGAGCAGTCTTGGGGAAGTAGCGGGGGGGGGGGGGGGAG